TGTGTTTGTGTGTGTGTGTGTGTGTGTGTGCTTTGGTTGTGAGAGTGTCCTTGTGTGTGTGTGTGTGTTACCTTGAAGCTGATCTCGGTTGTCATGGTGAAGCCGTGTGTGATGATTGGCTCCTCGTCCGGTGCTTTCCCCTTCCAGACGTCGAGCTCCACACAGCGGCAGCCGGACAGCAGAACCTGCCGGTAGATCTCCACTGAGGAGGTTCCTGCCAGCTGACCGGCTGCGCACGCACACACACACACACACACACACACACACACACACAGATCAGTATGATTGGCTGACCTATGAGACAGGTGTCGTGTGATTGGCTGACCTATCAGGCAGGTGTCGTGTGATTGGCTGACCCATCAGGCAGGTGTCGTGTGATTGGCTGACCTATGAGACAGGTGTCGTGTGATTGGCTGAACTATGAGACAGGTGTTGTGTGATTGGCTGACCTATGAGGCAGGTGTCGTGTGATTGGCTGACCTATCAGGCAGGTGTCGTGTGATTGGCTGACCCATCAGGCAAGTGTCGTGTGATTGGCTGACCTATGAGACAGGTGTCGTGTGATTGGCTGAACTATGAGACAGGTGTTGTGTGATTGGCTGACCTATGAGGCAGGTGTCGTGTGATTGGCTGACCTATGAGGCAGGTGTTGTGTGATTGGCTGACCTATGAGGCAGGTGTTGTGTGATTGGCTGACCTATGAGGTAGGTGTCGTGTGATTGGCTGACCTATGAGGGAGGTGTTGTGTGATTGGCTGACCTATGAGGCAGGTGTTGTGTGATTGGCTGACCTATGAGGTAGGTGTTGTGTGAAGAGTTGATGAAGTAGTGTGAGAGCGGCTGTGTGATGTCTTCACTCAGGTCCAGTTTCTCTGGAGGGATGATGCAGTTCTCCTCTCCACTCAGATATCTGGCGAATCCCTCCACCGAGATCTGCCCTGCACCACAAAACAACCCGCCCAATTACCCAGTGTAAAGAATGTAAACAGGATGAGTTATCTAGAACTCTCCAGAACTCCATCAGCATTCTTCTACAGCTCTGTGATACAGTATATTTAATATGTGCTCATCTCACTTTATTTGCCTGATCATCCTGTCATGTTTCTTTTCTCTGACACAATTTACAGGAATAAAGTGCTGTAAAAATAAAGGAGAAATTCCCGATCCGCCCTCTGCATCCTCAACACCAGGAGCAGCAGTGTCAGTGTTCAGATATGGAGGTGTGTTTGGGCAGTGTCAGTGTTCAGATATGGAGGTGTGTTTGGGCAGTTTCAGTGTTCAGATATGGAGGTGTGTTTGGGCAGTTTCAGTGTTCAGATATGGAGGTGTGTTTGGGCAGTTTCAGTGTTCAGATATGGAGGTGTGTTTGGGCAGTTTCAGTGTTCAGATTTGGAGGTGTGTTTGGGCAGTTTCAGTGTTCAGATATGGAGGTGTGTTTGGGCAGTTTCAGTGTTCAGATTTGGAGGTGTGTTTGGGCAGTTTCAGTGTTCAGATATGGAGGTGTGTTTGGGCAGTGTCAGTGTTCAGATATGGAGGTGTGTTTGGGCAGTGTCAGTGTTCAGATATGGAGGTGTGTTTGGGCAGTGTCAGTGTTCAGATTTGGAGGTGTGTTTGGGCAGTGTCAGTGTTCAGATATGGAGGTGTGTTTGGGCAGTGTCAGGAGCTCTCCAGGTTTAGTTCCTCTGGTCTCCAGCTCAAGATCTCAGCATTACTTTTGGTTCTGGCTGCAGATTTCGGCTGGTGGTGTTTGGGTCCCCGCTGGAGTCTAGATCAGTATCGCCATGCCGTCCCTCTGGCCACTTTCCTCTAATTAATCCTGCATGCCCTCTGCAGACTGCACTGCCTAATTAACACAGCTCTGTCTCTGACATCTGAAGCGGTTCCTCTAATGAGCAGTAAAGGCTCACCTTTCAGCCCCCTGAGGAACGTCACTCTGCTGAAAACTCCATTACTGCCACTGCAGACGGAGGACCAGCAGACCGCAGAACAGCCAACACAATCTCACAGTAATTCGTAACTTTTTCATTTAGTGGCTAATTCGTACAAATTCGTACGATCTAATTCGTACATTTTAGTACGATTTGCGTATCCCCCAATGACGTTTGGGTTTAGGGGTGGGGTTAGGTGCCACGCCTCCTTTTTAAAATCGTACATTTTCTTACGATTGAACTCGTACGAATTCGTACGAATTAGCCACTAAACTGCCAAAACGTAAAATACTTACGTTTTCTCGTGAGATCAGGCTGGAACAGCACATACCAGCAATGCTGTACCATGGGATGATCAAAAACCTTTATAGGGTTCATTCATGACTGTAAACATCTAGACATTTCTGCACGTCCTCTTAAGGATAAAGACTCTTGTTGACACTTTGATTGGTTAAAATAATCATGAAATTTCTACTTATGTTGATATCTGTGCAATTCATTATATTGTAAACTTGATATTTTATGAAATGCCATCACCACCCCTACACTCGAAACCATTATCATCAAGTCAAAGCAGATTAACATGAGCAAAGGAAAATAACAACCCACAACATATTTAAAAATTAAAACATTTCAGCAGGTCAGAGCTGTTCCGAGTGGTGTGGGTGGGTCATATGTTAATGAGCTCAGTTTTAATTAGTGTGGGTGGGTCATATGTTAATGAGCTCAGTTTTGATTCGTGTGGGTGGGTCATATGTTAATGAGCTCAGTTTTGATTCGTGTGGGTGGGTCATATGTTAATGAGCTCAATTTTGATTAGTGTGGGTGGGTCATATGTTAATGAGCTCAGTTTTGATTCGTGTGGGTGGGTCATATGTTAATGAGCTCAGTTTTGATTAGTGTGGGTGGGTCATATGTTAATGAGCTCAGTTTTGATTCGTGTGGGTGGGTCATATGTTAATGAGCTCAGTTTTGATTCGTGTGGGTGGGTCATATGTTAATGAGCTCAGTTTTGATTAGTGTGGGTGGGTCATATGTTAATGAGCTCAGTTTTGATTAGTGTGGGTGGGTCATATGTTAATGAGCTCAGTTTTGATTAGTGTGGGTGGGTCATATGTTAATGAGCTCAGTTTTGATTAGTGTGGGTGGGTCATATGTTAATGAGCTCAGTTTTGATTAGTGTGGGTGGGTCATATGTCGATGAGCTCAGTTATGATTAATGTGGGTGGGTCATATGTTAATGAGCTCAGTTACAATTATTGAGGGTGGGTCATATGTTAATGAGCTCAGATATGATTAGTGTGGGTGGGTCATTTGTTAATGAGCTCAGTTACGATTGGTGAGGGTTGGTCATATGTTAATGAACTGAGTTATGATTAGTGTGGCTGGGTCATATGTTAATGAGCTCAGTTATGATTAGTGTGGGTGGGTCATATGTTAATGAGCTCAGTTATGATTAGTGTGGGTGGGTCATATGTTAATGAGCTCAGTTACGATTGGTGTGGCTGGGTCATATGTTAATGAGCTCAGTTATGATTAGTGTGGGTGTGTCATATGTTAATGAGCTCAGTTATGATTAGTGTGGGTGGGTCATATGTTAATGAGCTCAGTTACGATTGGTGTGGCTGGGTCATATGTTAATGAGCTCAGTTATGATTAGTGTGGGTGGGTCATATGTTAATGAGCTCAGTTACGATTGGTGTGGCTGGGTCATATGTTAATGAGCTCAGTTATGATTAGTGTGGGTGTGTCATATGTTAATGAGCTCAGTTATGATTAGTGTGGGTGGGTCATATGTTAATGAGCTCAGTTACGATTGGTGTGGCTGGGTCATATGTTAATGAGCTCAGTTATGATTAGTGTGGGTGTGTCATATGTTAATGAGCTCAGTTACGATTGGTGTGGCTGGGTCATATGTTAATGAGCTCAGTTACGATTGGTGGGGCTGGGTCATATGTTAATGAGCTCAGTTATGATTAGTTTGGGTGTGTCATGTTAAGGAGCTCAGTTATAATTAAAGTGGGTGTGTCATATGTTAATGAGCTCATGGCTGTTTTGTATGAGTATTTGAGCTGTAATAAATGCTCTGGATGTACTGGATGTGTCACAGTATAGTCCCAACACAAACTTTATTACTTATTAAACTTTATAAACGTTCTATTTAATGTTAAATGATTGTGAACTGCTGTAACCTAGCAGCAGACTGTGGGCGGAGTCTATTTGAGTGACAGCTGAATACACCAACCTCTGCTAGATAGCATGCTGTCAGGCTCGTATTTCTCCACCAATGCCTGCACTTGCTCAGCTTTGAGGTGCGGGTACAGGATCTCATTCAGGCGAGAATCTCTCTGTTTGTTGTTCAGGAAATCCGTCATCTGCTCCACGGTGAGGTACGGACGGCTTTTAGCGCCTCTGCACACACACACACACACACACACACACACACACACACACACACACACACACACACACACACACACACACACACACACACACAGACAGACAGAAATACTGTTACATAAGTTAAAACACTTCAGCAGTCAAAGTCAATTGAAGACCTCATGCAAGATGAGTTAGTGTCAGCATCAGTCTCGAGTGTTTGTGTTTTTCCTACAGCTCCTCGTCTAATGTGACAAACATGATTCAGGCCGTTTCTATTCTTAGCATGTTTAAACCCACATGTTGTGACGGGTCCAGTGTCTAGTTACCCAACTGGTTAGGCTTGATCCAGCCGTATATCACTGTGTTGTGGCATGTGTAGTGTATATTAGTTCAGGGAAATATAGACAGAGCAGGTATTTCAATCAGAAATCTTCTTATCGAGTGCTGCTTTGTTCTGTTCTGCTGTAACACACAGCTGATGCTACTTTGGTCTGAAGTCTAATGCATACGTTAACTAGTTTACATGATATCATCCCAGTCTACTTCATCAGACGCTGGTCCTCCTAGAGTCAGCTGTTTCGAGGCCTAATGTATTAAGCAATATCAATGCTTCTGTATGGATTGAGACTAAAGTTGCACATGTCTCATATCCCCCTCACATGTCAGTGGTGTGTCTGCTTCAGTCATATGTTGTTCACGCTCTGCCTGAGAAACAGCAGCAGCTCTCTTCAATGATGACACCTTGTGGACAAACTGAGGAGTGCATGTGTGTGAGCTGCTTACACACACCACACACACACTAACAAACCCGAGCAGGACGCTACAGTGTGTGCATAAACTACAAACTGTGCTTTAGGAATTAGAGCATGAGGTGTGAGTTTCCCCATCACACATGAAGAGAACTGACATGTCTGAGAAGATGGTATCGATGTCGTTGCGTGGACAGATGTTGTTCAGCAGCTGGCGGTACACGTCTTGTGTGAAGGTATCCAGAGGAATGCTGTCATTCTGCGGGACAAGTAGACAGATAATGTTTAGCACTAACTGCAGATGAGGAATAAACCCGCACACCAAACAGCCATCAAAACTAGCAGACTGTTAGATCAGGAGCTCACTAGGGGGAGCTAGGGCTCCATAGACATTATTCAACACACACTTTTAATTAAATAAATAAATGAATAATAAAAAATAATAATAATAATAAATAAATAAATAATAATGAATGAATAAATAAATAAAAAATAATAATGAAAGAATAAATAAATAAAAAATAATAATGAATGAATAAAAAAATAAAAATAATGAATAAATAAAAAAATAAAAATAAATAAATAAATAAGAATGAATGAATCAATAAATAAATAAGAATGAATGAATCAATAAATAATAATATTTTTAAATAAATAACGAATAAAAAAATAAATAAAATAACAATGAATAAATAAATAAATTAATGAATGAGTGAGTAAATAATTAAATGAAATAATAATGAATGAATAAATAAATAAATAAAAATAAATAAATAAATAAA